TTTTTTCTGAACGTGGTAAGATAAGGTATTTTGGTTACTTTATTTGTTAAAAGATGGAATTACTTAATTCTCAACAAATAGGAAAAACAAAATTTCTGTAGTGATATTGTTGCCATGACAACGGGAAAAAAACATGGCGTCAATGCTTATTAATTTTGAAAAAAGTTGCATATGTTTATCACTTTATTCACAAAATCTACAACCACTGCTTGAAAAATGAATGGTATGATCTTGTTAGGGGTTATCTATATGTCATATCTATACAATAAAATTTGCAGGCAATTTCGGAGAAAAAAGTTACAAATGGTTAAAATGTGTGAAAATCTGGCATTTATAAGCTTTTTTTGAAGGGGTCGGGGAAATTTGAATACATGTTCAGTGTCCATTATATTGGCCATATTGGTTCTGATCAAAGCATACTCATAACTTTAATATTGTTAATAAATAAATGCACAATCAATTTCAAAAGGAATTCTATATTCCTCACAAAGGAAACTTGGAAAAGGGGGGGGGGGGGGGGGTAGGAATCACCTTGTTCATCGATCCATATGTTTGTTAAATTTTGACTTGTCTTTAACATTTCATTGAAGTGCCACTGAAAGTTCATACTTGATATTAAGATTGCTTGCGATCGAAAGATGTGTCTTCAACCTGACTCAAGGTCATTTGGACAAGTTCAAGGTCATTAGTAGAAGAAAAGTGCAACCTTTGCCCATTCTGTAACATTCTAATGAAAAGACTTGGTTTCATCTAAGGAATTATTTTTAAGCTGTAGGTTTGTCATTACCTTGACCAAAATTCATTTGAACACGTTTGACCTTAATTGACTCAAGGACATAGCTTTTTCAAGGTCACTGCAGTAAAAGTGTACTATATGAGTTTGGCACATTTACATATTTAACTTCGAATGAAGGGAAATTGGAAGTTTGTGCTCAACACAATGGTTTTACTACCTATGACTTGAGTATTTGTCATAGTCAAATTGTGGTATGCATATCTGCACTAGCAAAAGTTTAAAAGGTTTCAAATTAGTATTTAGACCTTTTTAGCAATAAAAAAACATTTAATGCAATAGCAGGAAGGTTGTATCATTTTATAAGCATGCTCACAATAATTCTTGTTTATGAAAGAGAGTCAATATGACAGCGCACATAATTATATTAAAAGTAAAACCATGTCAATCAGGCATGTAGCATCAGGTTTGGGTTTGGTAGGGGGGATGACATCCACCACCCAACTTTTTGTCAACGTACCCTAATATTTAACCACCCCCCTCCCGAGATTGTCCTTCCGTCCGTCCGTCTTTCTGTCTGTATAGAACGCTGTCGTTTCCACACGATATCTCGAGAACCCTCTGAGCTTTTGCAATGAAATTTAGCATAGCAACAGTTACTCCCAATGGACTAAAGAAGAACCCTATTGATAATAGCAAATAACAAAAGTCATTCCATTTTACAAATATTTCATAAAAGTGTTGATTTTCATAAATTCATAATTTTTTATGTAAAAATCTCGCCACTTTATGTAAAAAGCAGGAATTATCTTAAATGGTAAATCAAGATATCTATTACTATAAACTGAATTTTTTTTTTTACCCGACCATCACTCAAGTTATAATCATTATAGCTGGTGAGTGACTTGGTTACACACATGCTGTGAATACAAGAAATCAAAATTTAACTAAATTCAAATTAAACTTTATAATTTGGGATACAGTTATGTAACCATGGTAACTGATCATGACCAACTTGTTCACGTTCGGCCCGCAGAAACAATCTAAGTTGGGGAATTCAATTTCATTTTATCATAATATAGTTTAATATCGGCAATATTATCGGGCATACCCCCTCCTCTTGGTTCCTCGGGGCATAATCTTTTCTTTTTTGTTATAAAAAACTAAAGTAATGCCAACATATATAATCAATCAGAATTAAATTGAAACGTGCAAAAAACACTTGCCAAGTGTTACATATGATATTTTCCTGCATGGTTAATTTTTGTTATACATTCTTAAGAAACTGTTGTATTGGTAAATTGTAAAAAATAAAATTCAGTCACTAACCGTAATTAAGACTCATAAAAACGCCAAAACTGAGGCTCAGACTGCTCCAACTTTGTATTTTCTTCTAGTCTTCTGTTATTGAAAACAATGTAAGCAAACTACCGTTTATTCCTCCTATGCTAGAGAGCTATACCAAAGGGAGGTAATTTGAAGCAAAAAAGACAGAAAATTATGGATTTAAATCAGTTATCATATTTAAATGCTTTAGTTGCCTGCAGATTTTTTTCTTGATTCCTATAGAAGAAATACTGTTTAATATATATATTATGTTGATAAGCTTTAATGTGGTTGTAGATTTCTTATATAGTCCTTCAAATTTACTGTTTTTTAAAGCAAATTAAACCTCCAAAAACTAGTTATATTTATCAAAAGGTGAAGAGAATTTCAAAAACCAACAGCTGCTAAAATAGAGTATATTTTTATAAATAAAATAATAATTTAAAAAGATTTTTTTAATGACTAGTAATAAAAATATATTTGTTTAACCATAAATTCAAGGGTCATGATAAAGTACAAAACACGCTATCTGAAAGGCGCGTGGTTCCCATAGCAACAATGCGAAAAATTATTTTTTGCTTGCTTTTTTCTATCATTCCCTTTGTTCTGAAAATTTACATATGAGTTTTAACCAAATCTGTGTCTACGCCACTTTCCACATTTTTTAACTGAATGCTCGATGCTTGCTGATTTTGACTCTTAATTTATATGACTTCTATCTTTAAAATGAAGGCAAATTCATTGTAATTCATCTCGCATGAAAAATTATAAAGGAGCACAATGTAAGTATCACCCCGTTTTTCTTGTCGTATTTTTTACAATTCTGACATACATAACAGGTAATATTTAAAAAAGTCTTTGTGTGAAAATGTTGTAATTTATATTTTTTGTAAGAACTGACCCCTCTCTTTAATTTAACAAGGAAAAAAGTATACCTTTATGATAAAATAAACGAGAAATATGACGTTTTCTTTCATTTTCTTACTCTTCTGTCATAAATATTGACCTTTCTGCACTAAAAAGAGGTTAGATAGCATTGACAAACATTTGCATATAAAACTATTTTGCAAAAAATGAGTAATTTGTTTTGATAAGAAATAATTAAAACAGATAAACTCTTTTCTTCCTCATTCTAATCATTCTGTCCCCCCCCCCCCTTCCCCGTCAACAACCAACACCTAATAGAACCTAGGAATGACTTTACACAATATAATCTACATGCACTATAAATCAATAAGTAAATATAGGTACAAGTAATATTTTTTAATTTTTTCTTAGTTTTATCTAGAAAATCATAAAATTATACATACATGTGTGTATTTCCCTAATTTAAGCCGCTGTCTTTGCTGAATTTTATCATATATTTTTTGCATTTCTATATCAGCATATCATAGAGGTATTTCTTCACAACTGAAATTGCTAAGAATTATCAACCAAAGGAAGGGAATTCTGATATTAACAAACTCCAAAAATCAAATAAAACTGTTTTTAATTGATGAAAAAATTTTCTTATTGTAAACTGTGTACGCTTTTTATTAATGACAATGTTATGCCTATGATCACAGTTGCAAAAGTCAGCGGGAAAAAAACAAACGTCGCTATTGTGACGTCACATAAGGCTGCATTGACGTCGAACGACATAGGTCCCCCTTAAACAGCATTTTCGAAACGAGTTTCAAAAATACTACGCTGCAAAAATTGAGAAATCACTGGGAAATAGCGGGTCTTGAAGATTTAGATGTGAATCTGAAACTGTCCTACATTTAAGGAAAACATGCACATTGGATCGTGAATTCCATTAACGAACTAGCAGATCAAAAAGATGTGAACCTTTAGTTGTTTAAAAGTGCTGGTTTAGTGGTTTAAGTAAATGGAATTTGTTAAGCTGGTTCATTGACGATGTAAATTTCGATTGCATTTATTAAGTAAGGTGACTAAGGTCTGTAACATTAACAAATAACAACCTTATTCAATTAATAAAACAGAATTAAAAAAATTCAAATGAATATTCAATTACATTGCCGTTATGCAAAAAGCGCCCGAGGTAATTTTTGGGACGCACGGATAATCTTGACAGACATGGTTTTATTGATCAGGCAGGTAATTGGCTATTTGCGTGTTTTAATGATAAATATGGGTTATAATCTGGCGATCTGAACGAAAAGAAATTAAATAATTAAACATCATATTCTTTATAAATAACGAATGTAATTTACATGTTTACATTTGCATATTAGTATCTAGTACCGTTAGCTGGACTCATATTGAAAAAAAATGTATTTTTTTTAGTAAAGACTTATTTACTGTTTCTTGAATTCACGGATTTATTAGCACCGCAAATATAGCGAATATTTACACTGCAAGTGTTTTCCCCCTATACAGTATTTGATTAACTAGAGAAAAAGCCTTCCTTCCTTACAAAAAGGAAAATAAACAAAAGGCCAAAACTTCCAACCAAAAAGGAAGATGCAGCTACATATGTAACAGGCAATTCATTGCCTAGAAGACCAAAACTGGCTTAATGACAAGGTATTGAATATTTATATGTGCTTTATAAAGAAGCAGAACGATTTTTGGAAAGAGTTGATACGAGATATTTTATGACTTTCATGGTTGTTTTATTTACAACTGTAGTAACTCGTGTCGCTTAATCGAATATACCCGTAGAGAGTCCACAATTCCAGTTCATGTACCATATTTTATTACAAGTTCAACCCAGCGATACACTACAGAGTAAAGCCCTTCGACATCAGTGCCAAGAGCAAAACGAAAATATAGCCAAGTCGGAGTGACTGCAGGACACTTTTCCTACTGCTTTCCCTATCAGCCTATAGCGTTTACTGTCCAGAAGTTGAGGATCTACAGAGAACGTATTTCCTTCGAAAACTTTGGTGGCTTTAAAGACGAGAGAAAAAAAAATTAACGAGAAAGTCCTCTATTCCTTCTTCTCCAATGAAAAGAATACTTATCGGTTTCTTCCAATTTCTTCATCACCATCCTCTAGTTTTTCAATAGCGGTACTTGAAAACATCCTTCTCACAACTTTAAGAGTCCATGGTTTTTCATGTTTTTTTGTATCTTCCAATATATTTGAAATGTTTTCTCGGAGAGTCCTGAAAAGAGTGTACAATTTTCAAACAAACATTTTCCTTAAACAATTTATTAAGAGCAATGTTAAAATTGCCTAAAGTAATAAGAAATTACAAAAATGAAAAGAAAGCAAGGACCAAGTGAAGGGGTAAAATTATAAGTGCAGAGAGCTCAAAAGTCAAATTTGGTATACTCAAGGAGAAGTCTTTTTCAGAAAGAATACATTGGTGAAATATGAAGCCATGGTTCCACCCATTCAAAAACCACAGGGAGAATTATGCTGATACTTCTTAATTCATTAGTATAGATCATCTAGTTGACAAGAGGACCACGGGTCATATAGGTCACCTGAGCATTATGCAACAACTTTCCAGTTATTGAATTTGATACATGTTTTAATCTTGAGGCTATATGGCATTTCACAATTTTGAAAAGGGCACCATTGATCATCATAACAATATACTTAACAGTTGCTTAGGTTGGTTACTAAATACCAATACGCAGGGTAGGGGAACAATACTGGATTCCGCCTAATCATACATATTCAGCAATAATCAGTAGTGCCCCTACCACTGTGACATACAACCCTGACCCTAGGTCCACACATTGCACACATTTTTAAAAAGGCAACCTTAAAATTGCCTATCAAAAAATAGTTAAATGTCTCATAAATATAAAGGAGCAGATTTCAAACAATTCATTTTCAGTATATAAGTAGAGCCCCCCCCCCCCCCCTTGACCCTGGGTCGTCTAATTCACAATTTTGCAAGAAAAGGGCCCTTGCTCATCATAACTATTTAGGTAGTTCATCTGCTTCATACCCAGAGACAAAGAAGAAAATTTTCAAAGATTTAATGTACATGTATTTTCACTATATAATAAATAGAGCCCCGCCTTAACACCAGGACCCCTAACCCTGGGGCCATAAAATTCATAATTTTAGAAGAGGCATTCTTGCTCATCACAACTGAGTATTTAGTTAATTTATTTAATACCTAGAGGAGCAGAGAACATTTTCAAAGAAATCATGTATTTTCACTTTATGTTCTTATTCGTTTCACTCAAACGAACATAAAACATTTATGAAATAAACACAAACTTGTGAAATAGGATATGAAGCGCTCTGAAACAGCAGTTTAATTATTTCACACAATTAATACAAATAATATCTCTTTTTTTCTAATGTCCTCATCACTCAATGTCCGAATTCTACAAAATAGAAAATAAATATTTTCAACAAGATATATATCTAATTAAGCATTCAAAAACTAAGCGATGGGCGGGTGGGTGGGACTATATTGAAATGCATGAAATAGAGCCTTCGAATGGCTTTTCTCTATACAGAATTTCACGGTCAGTAATAGCCCGTGCTATTATTTATGTCACCTGACTAGGTGACCATTCTAACAGCCAATAGATGACAAGAATAAACAAACACAAACACGTGTTTGCGTAACATTAATAAATACGTATATATAATCAATAGAGCCCCACCCTAACACAAGAACCCCTGACCCTGGGGCGATAAGATTCATAATTTTGATTGAGACACTCTTGATCGTCATTTAGATGTACTATAATAATGCATTTTCACTATATACTTATTAAACCCCGCCTTAGCACTAGAATCCCTGACCCCAGGGCCATGAATTTTACAGTTTTGGTAGAGGACTCAATGCTGATTACAATCATGCAAACAGTTTGACTTCTTGATGTCCAGGAGTAAAGAAGAAGATTTATAAAAGATTGTATTTATTTTAATGGTTTTGGCCCCATCCCTAAGGCCCCAGGTGCGGCAAGGATCATGAAATTCACAATTTTTGTTCCCTTTCACCCAGAATGCTTTGTGTTAAATTTGGTTGAAATTGGTTCAGAGTTTGCAGAGAAGAAGCTGAAAATGTTCAAATGTTAACGGACGACGCACGAAAACGGATAGCAATAGGTCACCTGAGTTTACTCATGTGACCTAATAAAGGGTACACTCCATGCTTAAATCATAGCATTAATTTCATTTTGAATCAATTCATATAAAAGATTATTCCTACATGTGATATTGTCTGGTATAAAATACATTCACACACATGTTCAACTTAACACAGCTCTTTCCCCTCTCCACAACTGGAGGCACGCACTGAAATGATTTCCATCGGATATTCTTTATTGCAGATCGGACAGGTTCCAGATGTCAGATTTGCTGAACTACAAAATAAGAACTAAATATATCTATTTAACAAGTTTAACAATTATTTCCGAGAAATATTCTTATCTTATTCTTATCATAAATTATGAAATTTATCTTTGATAAAATTTCTGAAGAAGTCAGATAACATTATATTCTTTGATAAATAGAATATCAATAATTATTGCTGAAATTTAATATATGTTAGAAAATTTAAAAAAAAATGATGAAATAACATTCATGATAAAACTATATGGAATCCTCATTAAGACCTAAAATTAAGAAAAAAAAAAAAGTAGTCTCATGTTTTTTATATTAATCTTTTTTTTTTGGGGGGGGGGGGCATTATGTATTCCAATGTAAAATTTTGGTCCTGTGGTTCTTGGTATGACTTTAAAAGACTAAATTCTCAAATATCTCTCCTTGAAAAGGCATGTGGCCTTTCTTTGCACTTAAGCATTCAGGGTGACCAAGATTTCATTAACTTTTTAGAAAAGATTGTTGTACAATAAAGGAAGCATTTTTTCCCTCACAAAAACTGACAGTTCATTCTGAGAGAAGATTTTTAAATATATAAAATAGTACATCTCAAAACCATCATTGAAATTATAACTGCTTAGACATATAACATGAGATGAATTCTAAAAGCCCTAGCCATTGTTCATTTATTTATTAAAGTCTGCATACATTAACATATTGTCCTACTTTCATGCTGATATGGATACTTCTTGCACCTCTATTGTTGGAGAGTTAAAATCTTAAAACTTGTGTATTGTACATTTATGTATAGTCTCCAAACAAATAAAACTACAACTGTCCAAAATGGACAAATATCCCCTTAGTTTTTTTTTTTTTTCAAAATAAATGTCAATTCAAACAAAGATAGGAATGTCTGATAAACTCTGTTTCCAAACATATTCTAGAAGAGCACAAAATGATTCAGAAGTGAATTTAGACAATGAGCATTAATGAGATCTACTGAGAGTATATATCACCAACAAAACTAAATACTTCATCATGTAGGTTTTCTGCTCAACTTACTAGCATAATCAATTCATAGAGCATGAGTGTTGCTTTCTGATTTTAATTTGAAATGTTTTAGATAAGAATGCAGCGAATTGTCATTACAAAAACAAAAACAGTTTTGTGCTCCTCTGATATACTGTATACACATGAAACAGGGAAATCTTCGCCCACATTTTATTTTCGCCCCTTTTTCCTACTTTCCTTTGGTCGAATTTAAAACTGGCTAATTCACTGAAAATAGTATAATTTCTTAAATAAATCTATGACTGGCCTGTGGCTAAATTTAAAACTGTGCAAAATTATTCGCTATCATTAAAAGGCAAAAATAACAGGTGAAAATAACCCTGTATGATACACATGATACAGTAGTGCAAACTTCTTGAAAAACATTCAACCACGTCATAAATAACAAACATAATAAAAGTACTTTTGTTCATGTGTTTCTTCTAGTTGCTCATCTCTCTCTGTATCCTATTGCATGATTAATGTATTTAATTAAATCATCTACTTTAAAACAAATCTTGAGAAAATCAATACATCTTTCAGATGTCAACACATCTTTAATATCTACATGTACCTATAAAATAACAATTAAACTGTTAAAGGTTAAATGTAAAATATCACCAAAATAATTTTCACATACTAAAGTTGAAATTTATTACATAGGCATATACTTACACACATATACTGACATATAGGTGCTTGCTTCTTCCTCCTTTTCAATTTTGGAAGAGGGCTATCTTCTTCCTAAATGTTCATGAAATAATTATTCTATTACATTTTTGAACATTGAATTTCATTTTCTAGGATTTTTATATATAAATTTCCTTTCATTTTCAAAGAAATGCTTGCAATTCCTAGCTTTTCCCACATTTTAGACTACAAAAGCACCCATATCTAAACTAAAAATTCAGAACTAGAAATGAATGAGATGGTGTCCTTTTCAAATAGCCACGCTTTCAGCAATAAACATTGGCACAAAAATCACAAGTAACGGTTAACGTTTAATTTCTTAAAAAGTAGGTCAAACTCCAAGGTCAAGGTCCAATGAAGGGTCTTTTCACAAGGATTACATATATGAAGTATAAAAGCCCTATCTCTTACCGTTCAAAAGTTATGGCCAAGGTTAACGTTTTTCACAAAAACGAAAATCTACAAGGTCAAAGGGTCAAGATGTTTGATATCTAGTGAAAGGTCTTTTAACAAACATTACATTTGTAAAGTAAAAAGTCCTTGTGTCTACTGTTTAAAAGATATGGCCAAAGTAAAATTTTAAAAAATTTCTTAAAAAGTAGGTCAAACTCCAAGGACAAGGGGTCAAAGTTATTTTTATCAAATGAAAAGTCTTTTCATAAGAATCAAATATGTAAAGTATGAAAGCACTAGCCCTAACTCTTTAAAAGTTATGGTCAAGGTTTGCTCTTTTAAAGTAGGTCAAGCTCAAAGGTCAAGGTCAAAGGGTCAAGGATTTTCATATTCAATGAAGGGTCTTCTCACAAGGATTACATATATGAAGTATGAAAGCCTTATCTCTTACCGTTCAAAAGTTTTGGCCAAGGTTAAAGTTTTTTCACAAGTACGAAAATCTACAAGGTCAAAGGGTCAAAGTTGTTGGTATCCAGTGAAAGGTCTTTTAACAAACATTACATATGTGAAGTATACATGTCCTGGTGTCTACTGTTCCAAAGATATGGCCAAAGTAAAATTTTAAAATTTTCATGTAAAAGTGGGTCAAACTCCAAGGTCAAAAGGTCAAATTTGGTGGTACCCAAAGAAAGGTCCTGTCACAAGGAATATACATATGAAATATGAAAGTCATAGCTCCACTAAATCAAAAGTTATGGGCAAGGTTAAAGTTTTTGCGGACAAACAGACAGAACAGACGGACGGACAAGACAAAAACTATATACCCCCGAAACTTCGTTTACGGGGGCATAAAAATCAAACATAAATAATAATTTCTTCAGACTATAAAATCCTAAGTAAGACTTTACTGCAATTTGTTGCAAATATGGAAGTTGAAATATATATTTTTTCTCAATGAATTCATGTATAGTTAGTTTTAATTATATTATACAATACTAATTTAGTTTTAATCATACACTAAAACATAAATTTGTTTCAATTACATTACACCAATTGGAAGATCTGTAACTGGTCTAGCCATCAAGAACTCTTAATTTACACAAGTATCTATGGGGCCATTTCTTTTTGCCCAACTCCCAAGAGATAAATTAAGATAACAGCTGCATTAGATCTATAAATGCTCTTAGCTCCTGAAAATAAACTCATTAATTTCTCACTAATTTGACATGCAAGTTTCTGCTATCAAAATTTTTCTGGACCAGTGCTTGATAATTATGCCCAGGGGACAAACTGAATTCCTCTCAAAGCGTAAACATTTGTAACAGATTATTGTAAAGTATATGATGAAATAAATAAGTTTTTACTAAATTTCACATTTTTAATAAGGATACAACTATATTTTTACATTTTTCAAGATTAGGGAGTATAAAATTAAAGACATATTTTTTTTTTAAAAAATCAATAAAATTAAAGGTCACAGTGACCTTGAAATAGGCCGCGACACACCTTCTACTTAGCTGTATACTTTTGCCAAGTTTGAAAGCTCTAGGTTTCATAGTTTTTCTAGTTATGAGCCGGACATGTTTTTTTTTTTCCATATTTGGCTTTAACATCTTAATTAAAGGTCAGAGCGACCAACTTTTTGTGCGCGACACATTTTCTACTCAAGATGTATCAGCTGACAAGATTTGTTAATTCTAGGCCTTATAATATTAAAGTTATAAGCCGGACACGAGAAAAGCTAACAGACATACAGACAGACGGACACGAAGCCTATAACATAATACGTCCCGTCTTAAGACAGCCGTATAATAAGGAAGATGCAGGTAGCAGGGAATCTATATTGCCTAGAAGACCAAAATTGACTGAAAGAACAGGTTTGGAAAGTTTAAAAATAGTTTCCATGTGCTTTAAGAACACTAACGGAGCCATTTTTGAGACTGTCATCAATAAGACTTAGTAATTTCGGGCCCCTCTTCATTTATTAACTGTCGCCCGCATGGCGCAGAGGATATATATTGTCAGCTCTAAAGTCACGAAGTACGTCAATCCTTACGTTGCTGGTCGAATTCCACTGTGGGATGTGGAGACCGGTCTTTCGGATGAGACTGTTTCAACCCAGGTCCCGTGTCATAGTCGATTCTGGCACGGAAAAGATTCCCCACTTTTCTTTGTCAATGGGTGCTGAGTATAGGACAAAATTTGCAGCTCTCAACTTGGTGGCTTCTACATATGAGGGAAAAGTTCTCCAGAGGGAAGTTAGACAATACATAATCAATATACCGATAATTTTTCTGTTCTTTTGCAAATTCAAATGAATCAATCAAAGTATCACTGACAAAGCTATAGTTTATAATATTAAATTCTGCTGATTCCTGTTTGATTTATAACCTTGAATGTATTGGACAGTATAGTTTGAGATAGTTGGTATTTATATTATTTTTATGTTCCCCAAACGGAGTTTGGGAACATATTGTTTTTACTCGGTTTCTTATTATTATTATTATTATGTTCCCCAAACGGAGTTTGGGAACATATTGTTTTTACTCGGTTTCTTATTATTATTAAGGTCTTCCGTCTCCAACGGAAGACCTTCTTGTTATTCTTCGGTTTCTTTTTCCCTATTATTATTATTCTTACCAATTTTGTGCACGCGATTTCTCGTAAACTACAGGGCCGATTCTCATGAGACTTTCACATCTGATAGGTACTGATCTGAACCTTATTGGAAATTTTTTTTGTTGATGACGTCACTTCCGGTCATGAAATATCTACAATATCCTGATTTTAAAATGCAATTTTGTCTGAACTTAGTAGCGAAAACTGCTTAAGATATGAACAGGAGACTTATTTGAGATGATAGTTCATGACTTATACCTTTGCAGAATCACCTTTCCGTGTGTCATCAATACTTCCGGTCGCTACCGGAAGCGAGTTTAAAAAACGCAATTTTTCAACTTTTCTTTTTTAATATTTTTGTTTTTGATTTGAATAGAGACCCTTTTGCAGAAGCGAAATATGTAATTTGTTTGAAAATCGAAAAAGTCAATCTCGAGATATTTGCATTTGAAAACGCGTAGCGGCGATCCCGATGGCTAAATGGTTAGCGCGTTGGATTGTCACGCGCGCGACCCGGGTTCGATCCCCCGAATGTCCAAAATTATTTATCATTTTTTTTTTCTGTTCGATTTTTCGATATTTTTCAATTTTAAGCCATTTGCAACAATATATTATAAACTTTTAAGCATATCTTGCGTATTTAGGGGTCACAAGGGGCCAGAATGTCAAATATTTGACGCTTTGTATCTCGAAAAGGGGAAATATTTTGATACGCAATATTGAACAAAAGATGGTCGGAATGATGTTCTTAACAATATGCATACTTTGAATTTTTGTAAAACGGCCCCATTAAGGACTCGTAAGAGTGGCCCCTAAATATTTCAATTTAACATATCTCCAGGATGAATAGAAATCTCTGAATAAGTGTTGAACAAAAAAATTTTAAAATCACAAGACCTTTCATTTGATATCAAGAAAAAGGGGCTGACCCCTCAAATTAAGGGCTCAGAGGGGCCAAAAGTCTTTTATCTATAGCTCTCTAATGGTCAATATTTTGTTATACATTACTGAAGCAAAAGTATTTATCTTAACAATTTGCAACAATATTTGATACAATTTGGATCATATGTGACGTAATTAGGGGTCACAAGGGGCCTGAATGTCAAATCTTTGACGCTTTATATCTCTAAAAGGGGGAATATTTTGATAAGCAATATTGAACAAAAGATGATTAGAATAATGTTCTGAACAAAATGCATACTTTAAATTTTTGTAAAACGGCCCCATTAAGGACTTGTAGTAGTGGCCCCTAAATATTTCCATTTAGCATATCTCCACAACGAATAGAAATATCTGATTAAGTGTTGAACAAAAAATCTTCAAAATCACAAGACCTTTCATTTGATATCAAGAAAAAGGGGCTGACCCTCAAATTAGGGGCTGAGAAGGGCCAAAAGTCTTTTATCTATAACTCTCTAATGTCCAATATTTTGTTATACATTACTGAAGCAAAAGTATTTATCTTAACGATTTGCAACAATATATGATACATTTTAATCATATGTTAGGTAATAAGGGGTCACAAGGGGCCAGAATGTCAAATATTTGACGCTTTATATCTCAAAAAGGGGAAATATTTTGATAAGCAATATTGAACAAAAGATGGTCAGAATGATGTTCTTAACAATATGCATACTTTGAATTTTTGTAAAACGGCCCCATTAAGGACTCGTAAGAGTGGCCCCTAAATATTTCAATTTAGCATATCTCCACAATGAATAGAAATCTCTGAATAAGTGTTGAACAAAAAATTTTCAAAATCACTAGACCTTTCACTTGATATCAAGAAAAAGGGGCTGACCCCTCAAATAAGGGGCACAGAGGGGCCAAAAGTCTTTTATCTATAACTCTCTAATGATCAATAATTTGTTATACATTACTGAAGCAAAAGTATTTATCTTAACGATTTATTACAATATATGATACAATTTGGATCATATGTTAGGTAATAAGGCGTCACAAGGGGCCGGAATGTCAAATATTTGACGCTTTATACATCTCGAAAAGGGGGAATAATTTGATACGCAATATAGAAAAAAAGATGGTCAGAATAATGTTCTGAACAATATGCATACTTTGAATTTTTGTAAAACGGCCCAATAAAGGATTTGTAGGGGTGACCCCTAAATATGTATATGAAGCATATCTCCACAAGGAAAAGAAATCTCTGGTTAGGTGTTGAAAAAAGTCTTTGAAATCACAAGACCTTTCATTTGAAATCAAGAACATTTTATATGAATTTTTATGAACCATATTGAACAAAAGATGTTCA